ACAGCGCCTCCCAGCCGCACGCGCCGGGCCCCGGGCCCGCGCCGCGGCCCGCCGTTCCCCACCAGCGCAGCCCGCAGCACAGCGCCCGCCGCCCCGCGCCCGGCCGGCCCGCCGTCTTGGCCGCCTCGGGCCCAGCGCCCGGGGAAGCGCCTCGGAGCTCGGGCGCCGCGGGCTGCGGGCCGCGGCAGGAGGCAGGGGTTGCGGCCCGGACCAGGGGCCGCCGCTCCCGTCGCCGCTGCGTCTCCTCTGCGCCCACCGCTTCGCCGCGCGCCCTCCCCGCGGCGGCTACCCGCGCTCCCCGGCCAACCTTCCCGGGCGCGAGCCGCCAGAGGCGGGCCCCGCCTCCTCGCGCCTCCAGCCTGCCGGCCAATGGGGAGCCAGACCCGGGCCGGGCGAGAGGGGCTGGGCGGGCCCTGCGCCGGGAACGCCCCTCCGTCCGCCCCACCGGGGCGGGGCGAGGCGAGCGGGCGAGGCGAGGGGCCGGGGAGGCGGGCAGGGGGCGGGCAGGAGGCGGGCGGCGGCTCCGGCCAGTCCCCTCGCCTGTCGGGACGCGCCTCCCGGGACGGCCACCGCAGGCCCTTCTCTGCCCCTGGGGGAAAAGGGAGGAACCAAGTGGGTCTCCCTCAGGAGGACGCAGTGTGCTCTTCCGCCGCCCGAGCCCGCTGAGGGTGCGCGGACCCTCCGCGCTCACGTTCCCTTCCGCAGTAGGCGCCCTGCACCGGGCGCCGGGGAGCTGTCCGCCCCGGTGGTTCTGAATCAGGCGCTGCGGAAACGCTCCAGGTAGGCGGAGGGTCACAATTCCCCGGCTGCTTCTGCGCTGCTGCTGCCCGTGGGTCACGGCGGGCTGCGCCGCTTGCTCCTATAAATACAAGGGCTGTCCGGCTTCCGGGAACCTTGCTGCGATTAGGAGCCGGCCCCACCGGTCCATTTCTGGGGTCAGTCTCCCTTCGTACCCCTGTAATTTGAGGGTGGCGGCATCTGCAGTTAGGTAGATAGTCATTCGTCATCGTCTTTGACGTTTGACATCTTTTAAATTCAACATATTCACTACCACCAAAATATTGATTACTCTAACACCGCTATTTCAGTATCTCCTTCCCTCAGACATTTGACACACTCGTCTGTTAAAATACAGCACAATCACCCTGGCTTCAGGGCTCTGATAAATAGAACAGAAAGGTTCCAACTGCCCCTCTTCCATGGACAGGAGTGTGTGGCGGTCATCCTGTTGATGGTGGTACATAGGATCCGTCTGTCTTGTCTTCTTGCGCCCCCTCTCCCTCCCACAAATAGTGCAATAAGTCACACTGATGTTAATTGGGTCATAAAGTCACTATCACTCTGAAATAAAATAAATCCACAGCAATGTGAGGGCTTACAAATCCTACCGGGTATTAGCTAAATAATTACACAAAATGGAAAGGCATGTTGCTATTTCTAAGCAGGCATAAAGGATAAAGATGTGGGGACCATTCTGCCGTCAACTGAGGTCAGTTCTGTCAGGCAGGCAATTTCTGTTCCTGACCTCTCTTCCCAGCCCCCGTGTTTCCTCCTCCCAAACCAGAGCCACTGTACAGGCAGAACTTCATGAAAATCACCGCAAGACAACATATAAGAAGGAAGGGATTCGCATAACATGGCTTGCTTTATGGATTGACTGACAAATGAGAAGTGTTTGCAAAGCATTTCAACTCCCTTGGAAGAATTATGCCACAGAAAAGAACTGATTTCCAACATATCTATATACTGTGCCAACCAGCCGAAGAGTTTGAAGAGGGTATGTACAGGTCCTCAGGCTTACCACAAAGGGTCATGTGAAGCGTAGACTGAAGATGCAAGGAGCAAAATAAGACTCCATACTTCGAGTACAAATCCTGCAATTAGAAATTGTGTAAGACTCCTGTGAGATTTCATGTTATCTATTAAAAATAATTGAATAGGATCCAGAGGGGTGGATTCTATGGGAAAGAATTCCTCCTTCTCTTCTTCAGGTAGCCAATGAAAGAGTCAGCAGCTAAGGCAAGTGTGTGTTTTTAAAACAATGGATTGCTTTGCTACCCCTAGGAAGCACAGAACAGAGCAGTGAGAGTCACATGGATGGACACAGCCTTCCACTGTCCTTAATTTGCATTTGTATGGTACTAATCCCAAGGAAATGCCGGGCCTTTGTGCATTCCTGACCTCAAAGTGCTTGTAGCTCACACAGCATGTAACAGTGGGAAGAGGATTATTTGGTCACAAAAGACCAAATTTCCAAATCAAATTGTTACCCCAAAGCTTGTCAAATAAAAATTAGATGACTAGTCCTGTTTAGAATCAATGTTTAGCATGTTACTTTGTTTAACCCAGTAAAGTAAACACCTAGAAAAGTAAAAATATTCCAACCTTTAAAGACAGTGGCTGCTTCTCATTGTGGAGGGAAGAGAGGAAAGGAAGAAAACAATTGGAAAACAAAAGGCAAGAAAACTTTCCCATCTGCCTGGCAACTTCCTACTTGAAGCTACCATGATGATTCTACATCATTAACTTTTATAAGTAACATATTTGTGAGGATAATTACAGAACCAATGTGACACTAAGATCTTTTAATTTTGAGTCATTTGAAAACATCTTCCAAATAATATAACTTTGTAATATAATTAAGTAATTGTAGGTTAATATTGAGCTTTTGGTTTATAGTCTTCTCAAAGAGCTCCAGGTAGCAAAAGCAGTTCATTTGTGTAGGAGATTCCTTAGGTTTTGTTAAACCAGGGGTTCGTACTTTTATGTACCTGGGGCTAGTAGCCGTATTTCATTGAGTCTAGGCCTCCTTTCATGGTATAGTACACTTTTGTTGTATGTATCACCACGAAAGAAAAAATGCTACCATTTAAACTATGATACAGTGTTTTCTTTTCCCTAATAATTTAAATTTAAACATATCAAAAACACCTCTTTGATAATTATTTATAGTATCAAATCTAAATACAGATACAGATTTTTATCATGTAGCACTCTAATGAGCACATAAAAATACGTTAAAATAATTGGTTAGCATTTTCCTAAAACTTCACCTCACTAGTCTTATTTACTTTCCCACTGAGAGTTTTCAATGCCCAGGTTTTCCCCATGGGTATGTTCCTCTGAGCCACCCAGAGCCTCTGTCACACCACACTTCTTATAGAAGTGCCTTGAGGTCATCCAAGTTGCTGCCCTCTGTTCTGCATGGCTTAATGCTGGTATCTGTTTGTTTGTCTTATCCAAGGTTTTCATACAATAACCAGCTTTATTTTCCTTCTTTAATTGGTCATCAAAAGGTCCTCAGCCTAAAGTACCGAGGGGAATAGACAGCCAGGCGTGCCCTGGAATCGTAATCTTGCTGACACAGGCTCAGGCTACGTAGGAATTCCCACTTGCCCACCACCAACTACAAGACGATTCCTGATGTTTGAGATGTGAAATGTGCGAGAGAGAGAGAGAGAGAGAGAAAAAAGTGGGTATCTTAGAATAATAAAATATGGTGTATATTTCTTCCTGTCGGTACTTTTACAATTTTTATTTTGCAAATGGCCAAGCTGCTGCAGGGAATGGAAACGCACCAGAGACTGGCCTGGCCAGTCCCAGACTTCACAGGCCAAGTCAGGCTTGGGCAGTCTGTGTGTTGCTGGGTCACGGTGGGCAGAGAAGGCAGAGATGGAGTCGGGGCAGCTGCTGCCTCTCCCCACATTGAATTCATCACCCAAAAGGAGGGAGCTAGAGCTGAAAAGGAGCTCCTGGAACCGACAGGAAGGAAGAGCCACAGCTGCTGAACCATGGCCAGTATGTGGGGGGAGGAGGTTGAAGGCAAGTGTACGTGGCAAGGTGTGACTTTTGGGGTCATATCTGACATAGGGACCTAAGGATTAACCTTGCTCAAAATTATTTTATATGAAGAATTTATCCAGGAGTCAACCCAAAGAGGCAGAGAAAGAATGATACAGGGTAACACGATAGGAAACTATGGGGAAAAAAATCCCTTTCTGGGATTGAGATGCCCTGACATTTCCATTGCTTGCTTGCTTGATTGACTGATTGATTGATTCATTCACTAATTCATCAAAAATGTACTGAGTACCTAGTATGGACCAAGCCCTCTTCTAAGCACTGAGAATAAATCAGAAAAAAAAAAATCTGTTTTTATAGCACTTACATTCAAGTAGAGGGGAAGAAGAGAAACAAATAAATATGTAATACATCAGTTGTTGATAAGGGGTAAAAAGTAGAGGGACAGAGATCATGGTGAGTGTGGTGGTGGTGATAATGGTGTGTGTGTGTGTATGTGTGGTGGCAGACATTGCTCTGGTAGAAGACACTGGGGCATATCCTTGAGAGAGCAAGTCCAGTGCATTCAGGAAGAGGACACAAGTGCAAAGTCCCCGAGGTGGGCGCACACTAGCTGTACTCAGTGAGCACTAAGGAGGCTGGTGCAGCTGAGGCAGAAAGTGTAGGAGATGAAACTGCAGAGGAAGTTGGCTGTTAAATCTTGTAAGACTGGATTTTGAGTGAAATGGGGAGCCACT